TGCTCGGAATGTGTGGTGACGTTGTGATCCACAATAAGCTTGCTTTGCTTTGCTTGACCGGTCTTGTGACCCCTTGTTCTCCCCCACTTTGCGTATGGGGGTGTGTCAGACTTATATGACTTAGCCTATGTAGGCTATAGTGGGGTAGCACATATGGGGTACAACACTTTTCAAGGGTTTGTACTTGTACCCAACCTTTCTACTAGTCAATCATTCCTCGTGATCTTCAGAGTCCATTCATTCTCGCCTGCTTATTTCAACATGGTATTAGAGCAGGATCGTTCCTAGGGCCCACCGAACGTTCCGCCCTGCCCTAACTGAATTATTTTTTCCTGCGCTGCCCCTGCGACTGCGCTGCCCCTGCAGCCGCGCTTGCCCCTGCGACCGTGCTGCCCATGCAGCCGTGCTTACCCTTGCGACAGTGCTGCCCCTGCAGCCGTGCCTGCCCCTGAAACCGTGCTGCTCCTGCATCTGTGCATGCCCCTGCAGCCCGTGGGCGCTGCCTCTACAGCCCGCGCGCCGCCCTGCTGAGCCGCGCGTCGCCCCTGCAGCCCGTGCGCGCTGCCCCTGCAGCCTGCGCGCCGCCCTGCCAAGCCGCGCGTCGCCCCTGTTCGTCGCGACACCCTTGCGGGGCCCGCGTGGTGTCGCCCCAGCTCGTCGCGGCGCCCCCTGGGCGCCGTCCCTGCTCGTTGCGGAGCCCCCTGCCGCAGTCGTGGCTCTGCCCTGCAGCAGCTGCCGCGGAGCCCCTTGCGGCAGTCGCGGCCCCGCTCTGCAGCAGCTGCCGCGGAGCCCCCTGCCGCAGTCGCGGCTCCACCTTGCTGCAGCTGCCGCGGAGCCCCGTACCGCAGTCGCGGCCTCGCCCTGCCACAGCTCCTGCGGAGCCCCCTGCAGTAGTCGCGGCCCCGCTTTGCAGCAATTGCCGCGGAGCCCCCTGCCGCCGTCACGGCCCCGCCCTGCAGCAGCTGCCGCGGAGCCCCCTGCCTCCGTCGCGGCCCCGCCCTGCAGCTGTCGCGGCCCCGCCAGGCCGCTGTCGCGGCCCTGCCCTGCCGCTGACGCGGCCCTGCCCTGCCGCTGTCACGGCCTCGCCCTGCAGCAGCTGTCGCGGCCCTGCCTTGCCGCCGTTGCGGCCATGCCCTGCCGCCGTCGTGCGCCTACCTTGCCGCCGCCCGCCGAGCGCCGGCCTTGCTCGCCCGGCGAGCGCCTGCCCTTCCCGCCACCGGTGGCACCTGCCCTACCCGCCCCTGGTGAGCACCTGCCCTACCCGCGCTTCCCACGCGCCTCGCTCACAAGCGCGCTACCGCGCCAGCCTGCCTTCCTGCCTGCCGCGCTTGCCTGCCAGCCGAGCCGCGCCGCCCAGCAGAGCCGCTTCGCCCGGCCGAGCCGCGCGGTGCTGCCGGAATGTGCTGCCTTGCTCTACTGAGCCGCACTGCCGTGCCTGCGCTGCTACTGCTGCTACTGCTGTTACTGCTGCTACTGCTGCTACTGCTGTTATTGCTGCTACTACTGCTACTGCTCCTACTGGTGCTACTACTACTACTGGCGGTGGCCAGATGCAGCTCCAGCGACGTCCGCGCGAGTCTCTCACGCCCCAGCAGCTTCGTGAGTGGTACGCTAGTTGGGGTTGTGGCGGTGGCCGTCGTGGCTGTCGCCCTAGAGCTGGTCAGTCGGGAGCGTGCAGCTGCAGCGGCGTCCGCGCGAGACACTTACGCCCCAGCAGCTTCGTGAGTGGTACGCTCAGAGTAGAGGGTCTCAGAGTACCGTTCGCTGCCCGTGCGCCATTCGCACAGGTGATCGGGCTGGTCAGGCTTACAGGACGGTTGGTCACACACAGTCCCGCTGCTTCGCCCGTCTGAGCGACGCCTGGCGTACCGAGTTTGGCGACGAGGCTGAGCTCCCTGTCTGGGTGGAGCTGCTTGGGCGGAGGGTAGATATATTTGCTCTTGACTATGATGCTATTCTCACTGCCATGTATGCATTGCCTACTAGTGCTGACCGTGCCTGTTACCTGTGCGTACCGCCTGACCCAGGTATAGAGCCTGCTGCTCTAGGTGCTGGTGCGTCTCCCGCTCTAGGTGCTGGTGCGGCTGCTGCCCTAGGTGCTAGTGTGTCTCCTGCTCTAGGTGCTGGTGAGGCTGCTGCTCCAAGTGCTGGTGAGTCTGCTCTCTCTGGTACTGCGCCTGCTAAGGCCTTGCAAACCTTCACACTTGACTCTGGTGCTTCCCGCTCCTTCTTTCGCGACAGCACCACCCTCATGCCGCTCAATCGGCCGGTTGCGGTCTCCCTGGCAGACCCCTCTGGGGCTCCAGTCCTTTCGCACTCCTCCACGGTCCTGCCATGTTCGGCGGTCCCGTCTGGCTCACTATCAAGTCTTCACCTCCCCTCGTTCTTTACCAACTTGGTGAGTGGTGCTAACCTCCAGGACCAGTGGGTTGACCAGTTCACTCCTGGAGGTCAGCGCGTGACCCACTGTACGTGCTCCCGGACGGGCCGGCACCTGGCCACGTTTACCCGTGCGCCTGGCTCGAGTCTGTACACACTGACTACTATGTCCCCTCAGGTCGCTGCATCTGCGTCTCACTCCTCCTCGTTTCCCCCGATGACTGCTCCCCTGCACACCCTGCACATGGACGTGTGGGGCCCAGCCCGCATCCGTGGATAGGACCGCGAGCGGTACTTCCTGCTGGTTGTTGACGACTACTCGGGTATAGCCTCTTTAGGGTTTGATACTTGTACCCAACTTTGACCCAGTTCATTCATTCCTGCCTGCTTATTTCAACACGTATTTGATTGGGTGAAAAGAATGACTGTACACCCGATTCTTCAATCGCTCGGCTGGCGTGTGGTTTCGAACAGCGGGTTTTTTTTTTCGCGCGAAATTCGCTTTGCAGGTTGTCCAGATGCATTGACATTTCGAACCGCATGCGATTTTCTAATAATGACGAGTCGGTTTAGAATTTGTGAGCGACGTCAGCGCATTTCAAGCTGGCCAATAAAAAATACAGTAGTGGTCGCTGAAAGTCGACTCGCATTTGGGACACACTACAGTTTATGTTGTTTTTGGGTGTCCCAAAGCGATAGAGACATTTGTGTTGACAGAGGAATGTTCCCTTAGTCGAGTAGTAGACGAACTACAATGTTCTTGAGTTTTTTTGCTCGATTTTGGTTCACAAACTGCTTTAGAGCGTAGCCAACAGCTAAAATAGTGAACCCCATCCCAACTTGAAAATGAGTTTTTTCGTAAGCCCATTGAAGTGAGCTAGAACACTGTTTCAAACAACTCGTCTAAACAGATCGAGCTTACGTGATTGGCTCCCGCCAAAACAAAATTTTTGCCGCTTGTACAAGGAGTCGCATGTCAAAGCAGCTAGGTAAAACAGGAATGAAAAGAAGAGGGTTTCACTAGCAGGCAGTTGGGATACAAATAGCAATCCCTAACCGGGCTGTACGCACTATAGAGTAACCCACTGCAGACTAAACAAATATCACATTCTGACACACCCCCATAAGTGGGGTATAATCAGCACAGCAAGCAGTCACATAATAAGTTCACAAGCACAAGCAAAGCTAGTGGGAGACATAGAGGACTCGTGAGGAGGAGGAGGGACTCTGAGAGAAGAGGAGATTGGAGGTGGCGGCTGAAGCTGCTTGCACACGGGCTACTGGAGCAATTGGCACACGGGCTACCGGAGCAAGGGCCCCGGACTATTGGAGTAACCGGCTCCGCGGCTAAGACGAGCGGCTGGAGCAACAGACCCACGGGCGATTGGCGCAACGGGCTCGCTGGCTACCGGAGCAAGGGCATCCAGACTACTGGCGCTGCTGGCTCCACAATGGCTACCTCCGTTCAGCCTCCCCCACTATCGCAGACCCCCTTTTCACACACCCCCCTATACACTCTAGCTCCACTCCCACGGCACCCCCCTAGCGCCACTCCCTCGGCTCCCACACATCTACCCCCCTCAGCGTTAGCTGTAGCAGTGGGAGACGGAGGAGGAGGAGCAGGGAACGGCTCACACACCCGCCACTCCCATACCCGCCACCCCCATAGCCGCACGCGCAGGAGGGAGAGGAAGGAGAAAGGGGAGGGGCGGGGGGAAGCAGCCCCCGTGGCGCACGGGGTCAAGGGGCGGCGCGCGGGTCCCCGGGGGCGCCGCGACAGGCGACGGAGGACGGCGCGCGGGTCCCTGGGGGCGCCGCAACGGGCGACGGGGGGGCGGCGCGCGGGTCCCCGGGGGCGTCGCGACGGGCAACGGGGGGCGGCACCCGGGTCCCCGGGGGTGTCGCGACAGACGACGGGGACGACGCGGAAGTCCCCGGGGGCGCTGCGACGGACGACGGGGGGAGCGCGCGGGTCCTCGGGGGCGACGAGGGGCAACGCGCGGGTCCCCGGGGGCGCCACGACGGAGCTTGAAAACCGCCGCGCGCCCGGGGCGCGCGGCGGGCACGAAACCGCCACGCGCCCCGAGCACATGGCGGGCAGAAAACCACCACGCGCCTCGAGCGCGTGGCGGGAAGAAAAAACGTGGAAGCAGGTGGGCCCACAGGCCAGGAGCGTAGACGCTGTGATAGCATGTCAAAGCAGCTAGGTAAAACAGGAATGAAAGGAAGAGGGTTTCACTAGAAGGCAGTTGGAATACAAATAGCAAACCCTAACCAGGCTGTACTCACTATAGAGTACCCCACTGCAAACTAGACAAATATCACATTCTGACATCGCATTCGTATACCTGCACGACGGTTGCACAACATTGGCTTCGATCCCTGGACCCAGCTTCATGTTCAAGCCGTCCATGGGTTCACTACTACCATAGCTAGTTTCTACTCCCAAAGACTATTTTTCAGCCTAGCATAGAATAGCTGAGAACCTAGACATTTTCTGCCTAGGCGCGTCGATTATGTTTTAACTTGGATGCCTAATAATTTAGTAGAATATCGAATTGTTTTCCGCATATCACGCAATCGTCACATTCCAAGTCGCAATCGGCCTCGCTGTGACGTCGATGCGTCACTCTTTGCAACGTCGCCATCACGCTCGCAACGAAACGCTCTCCCGTCACCCTTCCTCTCTCCCGTCGCGTTCCTCTCTCCTATCACCTTTCCTCTCTCCCGTCGCGTTCCTCTCTCTTTTCGCCCTTCCTCTCTCCCGTCTCGTTCCTCTCTCTTATCGCCTTTCCTCTCTTCTGTCGCGTTCCTCTCTCTTATGGCCTTTCCTTTCTGCCGCCGACTTTCCACTCTCCCGTCGCCTTCCTCTCTCCCTTCGCCCTTCCTCTCTCCCGTCGTCCTTCCTCTCTCCCATCGTCTTCCTCTCTCCCGTCGCCTTGCTCTCTCCCCTCCCTTTCCGTCGCCCTCGCTCTCTGTCAGAATCCCAACCACTAGACCATTGGGATAAAAGGGCTTGTTTCAGTAGTGGGTCAGTGCGCCCATAACCCCCCAGGCGAACGCGCCTGTAACCCTCTCCAGGATCAATCGGGCATCCACAGTGCAGATCTACTGACACCCCCCCACACAGGGAGGCTCAGGACTAAGCACAACGGCAACGACCTACATGTGCATACACCGGGAATCGAACCCGAGTCCGCTCTGATACCATGTCCGAATCCCAACCACTAGACCATTGGGATAAAAGGGCTTGTTTCAGCAGCGGGTCAGTGCGCCAATAACCCCCCAGGCGAACGCGCCTGTAACCCTCTCCAGGATCAATCGGGCATCCACAGTGCAGATCTACTGACACTCTCTCCCCTCCCTTTTCGTCGCCCTCACGTTCTCCTCTCCCTTTTCGTTGCCCTCGCTCTCTCCCCTCCCTTCGCGACGCCCTCGCTATCTCCCCTCCCTTTGCATCGCCCTCGCTCTCTCCCCTCCCTCTCCGTCGCCCTCACGTTCTCCTCTCATCCCACCAACACCAATGACCCTCCCATCTCCCTACCATTCCGCGGATTTTGCTCACGCATCTCTCCTTTCGCGTCCTCGTTTCTGTTTAATTATGTTGTCATTGCCGCCCTAGCAGGGAAATGCTCTAAGGCATTTGCTTTGTGTGAGTCAAACTTGCTCTGCTTGAGTTGGACATTGCTTCACAATGTGAAATTGGCACTGGTTGTAAATGACTTGCACGTCGCAAACTTTGGAACGACGCTTTTGCACATGCTTGTGACGATTTATGTTTGAGAAGAAATGTCGAGAGTCGACCAGTATCATATGAGCTAGTAAAAAAAAAAAACAGAACAACACTTCAACTTTCAAATGGACCCAACTAGAAGGGGGGAATCACTATTTTAGCTGCGGGCTTTAAACCTACCCGGTCTGGTTCGGACATCTTGAACGTTGTCTTTCTCCCTCGATGTGGCATTCTTTACGACCGAATCTCGCCTAGCCGTCGCCACAAGTCTCCTTACAAGCCGCCCCAAGCCGAACTTTGCCTTGGGATCGCTTCGCATGCCCTAACGTGGCTGGTTTGGGAGGGAGTGCCCGTCATATTACCGCAGCTGGCAGCAATATTTTTTTGTCGCTTGAAAACCGAACCTACTGTAGACCCATGTCAAACTGTTATAATGTGTAGGCTGTAGGTGGGCGGCCCATAAGGGGTACAACCCCAAATTAGGGTTATACTTGTACCAATTTTCCACTAATTTCATTCATTCTCGTTCTATAATCTAACATGGTATCAGACCTTGTCGACCTGCTCGAGAAGCACCTCCTTGCAGCTGAGTCGCTCTTGGTGCTGCTCGTGGCACTCCTCACACACCCTTCTTTGAGGGGTGTTCCTCCTCCCCACTTGCCCCCTCTTACGCTTCTGCTGCTGCTGTTGACATCCTTGGTACAGAGGATGTCGGGGCTGCTTTTGCTCCTAGTGGGAAGTGCTGCGGCGGCAAGGGCAAGGGAGGCAAGGGTGGTGGAGGTGGCAGCGGGGGTGGTGGTGGTGGAGGCGGTGGAGGAGGTGGAGGTGACGGCGGTGGCGGTGGGGTTGGTGGCGGGTGTGGGGGCGTTGGTGGCGGCGGGGGTGGCAGCGGTGGGGGTGGTGGTGGCAGTGGTGGCGGCAGTGGGAGTGGTGGCGGCGGCAGTGGTGGCGGTCGGGGTGGAGCTGTTCAGAGGGGAGGTTCTCGCAGTGGCCCGAGGCAGCAGCAGCAGCGTCCGAGCGAGACCCCTACGCCCCAGCAGCTTCGTGAGTGGCTTGCTAAGCGTGGGGCATCTCGGGGTAGTGTTCGCTGCCCGTATGTCATTCGCACATGTGACCGCGCCGGTCAGACATGCGGGAAGTTTCACACCCAGCACCGCTGCTTCTCCCGCCTTGACAACGCTTGGCGTGCAGAGTTTGGCGACGAGGCTGAGCGCCCCCGCTGGCTAGAGCTGCTTAGGTCTGGTGTTGATGTTTTTGCTCTTGACTATGATGCTATCCTTGCTGCCATGTATATATTGACCGTTAGTGCTGAGGGTGACTGTTACCTGTGTGTGCCGCCCGACCCAGGTATAGAGGCTGCTGCTTTAGGTGCTAGCGAGTCTGCTCTCCCTGGTACTGCACTTGCTGAGGCCTTGCACACCTTCACGCTTAACTCAGGTGCTTCCCGTTGTTTCTTTCGCAACAGTACCACACTCACACTGCTTTGTGCACCTGTTCTAGTTAGACTGGCCAACCCCTCAGGGGGCCCAGTTCTTACACGTTCCAGCACTGTTCTCCCATGTCCGGCGATTCTGTCTGGCTCACTGTCAGGTCTTCACCTGCCCTTGTTCTAGACAAACTTGGTGAGCAGCGCCGCCCTTCAGAATGCATGGGTTGACACCTTTACTCCTGGAGGACAGCGTGTGGCAATTTGCACGTGCTCCCTGACTTGACGTCGCCTTACTACGTTCACTCGGCAGCCTGGGTCCAGTCTGTACACACTAACTACTGGGCCTATTCAGGTGGCTGCGTCTGGTCAGGTGACCGCGTCAGGTCAGGTAGCAGCCTCCTGTTCGTGTCGCCTCCTCTCGCACCAGACTCTCATGTGGCACCACCGTCGTAGTCACCCCTCCCTGCCACGTCTCCGTGGCATGCACTCCCGCCTTCTTATCTCTGGTCTCCCCAGGTCTCTGCCTCCTCTCCTACCCTCACTTGCCCCTCCTTGCATTCCTTGTGTCGAGGGGTGGCAGCGCGCCGCTCCTCACTCCTCCGAGTTTCCCCCGACGACAACTCCCCTGCAGACTCTCCACATGGACGTGTGGGGCCCAACCCGCGTTCGTGGACAGGGCCGCGAGCGATACTTTCTGCTAGTTGTTGACGACTACTCGCGTTACACCACGGTCTTCCCTTGCGCAGCAAGGGGGAGGTCCCTGATGTTTTGATCTCTTGGATCCGCGCTGTCCGTCTCCAGCTCCGCGAGCGGTTCGATACGGACCTTCCTGTCATGCGTCTGCACTCTGACAGACGTGGAAAGTTTTCCTCCGACCTTCTGCGGGGCTTTTGTCGTGGAGAGGGCATCCGTCAGACCTTCACGTTTCCAGCCTCCCCGCAGCAAAATGAGATTGCTTAGCGCCGCATCGGCTTGGTTATGGAGGTGGCTCGTACCTCCATGATCCATGCGGCTACTCCCCATTTTCTGTGGCCGTTTGCAGTCAGGTACGCCGCACATCAGCTCAACCTCTGGCCCCGTGTCTCCTTGCCAGAGACCTCGCCGACACAGCGTTGGACGCGAGAGGTTGGCGATGCGTCGGTGTTCCGGGTCTGGGGCTCTCGTGCCTTTGTCGGCGATACTTTCGCGGACAAGCTCTCCGCCCGCGCCATTCCCTGCGTTTTCCTTGGCTTTCCCCCTGACGCGCCTGGTTGGCAATTTTACCACCCCACCACGCGTCGTGTCCTGCCCTCTCAGGACGTCACGTTTGACGAGTCGGTTCCCTTTTACCGTCTCTTCCCCTACCGCGCTGCCCCTCTCCCCCCCCGCCGCTCTTTCTCGCTCTAGGTCCCCCTCCGGTAGACCCCCTCCCCCCTCAGGGTCCTGCTCCTTCAGGTGTGTCTCAGGTAGACCCCCTCCCCTTGGCTGAACCTGTCGAGGTCACTAGCGACTCTGGTGCTGCTGGGGGTGGTGCTGCTCGAGGTACTGTGTCTGGAGGTGCTGAGCCTGTGCGTGAGGAGCCTTGGGGTGCGGAGCCTGGGGGTGCTGGGTCAAAGGGTGCGGAGCCTGGGGGTGCTGTGCCTGGGGGTGCTGAGTCTGAGGGTGTGGAGCTTGAGGTTGCAGAGCCTGGGGGTGCTGAGCCTGGGGGTCGTGAGTTTGAAGGTGCGGAGCCTAGGGGTGCTGAGCCTGCGGGTACTGCGTCTGCTGGAGGTCCTCTGGGTGCCTCGTCACAGCAGCGTCTCTCGCCACACCAGGTGCGTGAGTGGTTTGCTTGGCGTACCCACCTTCGAAGTCGCGCTGCTGGAGCTGGAGGCCCTGCCGCTGGAGGCACTACTGCTGGAGGTGCTGACGCTGGAGGCGCTGGAGCTGCTGGTCCAGGAGGTGCTCGTACTGGACGTACTAGAGCTTCCAGGGCTGGTGGTACTCTAGAGCTAGAGGTACTGGTGGTGCTGGCGCTGCTGGTCCCGGAGGTGCTCGCATCGGAGGTCCTCGAGCTGCCAAAGCTGGTGGTGCTGCAGGCACTGGAGCTGGAGACCCTGGAGCTGGAGGCGCTGGAGCTGGAGGCACTGGAGCTGGAGGCACTGGCACTGGAGGTGCTGACGCTGGAGACACTGGAGCTGGAGGCGCTGGAGCTAGAGGCAGCACTGGCACTGGAGGTGCTGGCGCTAGAGGCACTGGAGCTAGAGGCCCTGGAGCGAGAGGCACTGGAGCTGGAGGCACTCGAGTTGGAGGCGCTGGAGCTGGAAGCGTTGGAGCTGGAGGCCTTTGGAGCTGGAGATACTAGCGCTGGAGGTGCGGCCGCTGGAGGTGCTGGAGCTGACGGTACTGGTGATAGAGGCGCTGTGCAGCGGTGATCGTTTTTCATTCGGCCGCCATCGTCGTCGCTGCCGCCACCTGACTTGGTACTTGCCATGTTCTATATCTCCCGTCTTCTACTGGTCTTACTCCACCCTTATTGTGTCCACCGCCTGACCAGTCGCAGCCACAGTTAAAGCTTTCTCCTCACTGCCTGCTCCTTCTCCTTACACTGAGCAGCGAGACTCTCTTGTTTTAGTCACAGTAGGCTCCAATGTGCCTAAAACGAAAGATAGAGTGCACAGTCGGATTTCTGCACAGCGGCTTCAAACGTTCATAGCGTTTTGGTCACAACATCAAATGACTTGATTCAACTTGGATCTGGAGCGTCTTAATCTTGCCTACACTAGGCAATTTAGATCGCACGATTTGACCAAGTATTGACGACACAGCGATGGTTTGAACGAACGGCACTATGGCAGCAACATAGTCTTAGAACACAAGATAGGAAGAGTTAGGAAGAGTTACGAGTTGGGAATGACTCCCAGCTCCTACAAACCCCAAGAGCCGAGGTACAGTGATGTGGAACAGTGCCACACTGTCCCCAACCACGAAGGGTCTCGAAACTACCCTTCACTAGGGCCTACACCAAGTGAAATGTTACACTACACAAAGTAATGTAACTATCTTCAATATCTTGAGGTGCACCCTTTTGGCTAGCTTCGAAATCACTTGAGGCTTGACACCAAGGCTCGGGCTCTTCATCACAAACTCATCCTTGAGTTCTTGATGGGTCTTCTACACACACCTGCGACACGCCGAACGTTCGACACAGGACAAAATAGAAACCGCGCACGACAAAATAGAAACCGCGTGCGAGACACAAACGACCGCGTAACACGCGTCTAGCGATAACTCGCTATTGACTCGACACACACACTCGACATCATGACTCAACATTCACACACAATTATAAGCATGAAATATATATTATCCCATGCCCTCATACCATTCCATACACACACACATGC